CTTTTTAGCATGTTTTATTAAACTACGTAGCTTATTGTACAAGTTCTCCAAAATAATATGCGTTCTATCTCTTTTCATTTTTAAAATAATAATCATCAAAGAATGCCATCGGTATGTTGATTTGCGCTTATGCGCCCCACCACAGATTACCCCCTAATAGATACCGCATCATTGAATATTTGTTCTGTTTCGAGTTCACCAAATTTGGTCCTATGCAAGGGTTGCGGGGGACGTGGCAAATGCGCTGTGATTGGATATTTAAAGGTCAAACTTAGAATGTACCAAACCATAGTGATGGAACAGGGTTGGGACGTTGATCGATAAATTTGGGATTTATTGATTATTGATTGATAAATAAATATATTGATCAATTTTTATTTGATGTTTATTAAAAATTAAATTTATTTGTACATTTAATTTATAAATAAATATATATATATATATATATATATATATATATATATATATATATATATATATATATATATATGACTGATTTTTAAAATGGATAATCTTAGTATAAAATTGTCTCACACAATTCTTAGGATCTGTCTTCCTGGATAAGTAGAGTAATCTTACGAGTATGTCTATGTATTTTTCCATAAAACTCTTAGCTAAATCAATGACATGATTACAACTTTCGTGATCGAATTGGTGATTTTTTTATTTCATAAAAAATATCCTCATAAACAAAACTGCTTAATGTTTGTGTTAAAAAACCTGGGCGACCATCTACAGATCTGTACCACTTTCCTAGTGTTTTTACAGAGGGTAAAGAAGTATTAAATGTTTTATAAGCCTTAGCTGAGTAATTTATGGTAAGTGCAAAAGCTCTCAACTGTGGTGAATATTTTTTTCTAACAATTTTGCCTGATTTTCTAGATTTTGATTTTTCTAAGGAACTTAATGCGTCATTGTTTTCAGCTGTTAATGAATTTTTGTTTTCTAATTCTACCAATAATGACTTCAAAGAAACTATTTGTCTTTTTAGTCTTCTGTGGGAATCATTTAACTTTTTAACTTTTTTATCTTTTTGGTTCATTACGTTGGTTAATTCGATGATTCTTCTACAAAGATGATTTTAACTGGAGTATCAAGTGCAGATGGCGTATCAGGTATATGAGAAAATTTTCTTTTGTCTTTTGTAGGCATTTCTAAGGCATGACTCTGATTTTTAGGTGTTGGCTGGTTTTTCGCATCTTTCAGCTGTGAACCAGTTATCTAAATCAGAAATACATATTCGTTTCTTTTAAAACATTACCGATATAGTATTATTAATTAATACACCATACGGCACGTCTTCCAAATTTAGATGTACTTAGTAATTATAATAAGATAATACTGAAGTTCATGTAACACTAAATACCAAGTCAAAACAATAATCCCATTATAACTTTTACATGTTTTATGATTTATAAATCCGTTAAAAATAACTTGATTTCGACGTGTGACATTCCCCTAAATATAAGAATATCATGTTTCACTCAACCACTTCATGATATTATTGTGTAATCTACGTTAGTACTAATCTTTAAAAAAAATGCAAAAGTCCATACCAAAACTGGCAAGTATAGAGATGGTATAGCGGAATCCAACAGCCTTATACGGTTTTTCATAATATCATGAAGATTGTCTTCTGTGAAGTGTTTTGAGCATAGTACACTATTTTTGTTGGGAAACCATTCGTCCCCTCGACAATTTGCGTCGATCCATATCTTTTTTCCTTTCGGGGCATTTAGAAAACCTATAACATATAGGTACCACAATGATACGTCACTTATTTTTATAAAATAATATGACTTCGAAAAAAATAATTAAACTATGACCAAACAAATATCGACTTAAAAATCACAACACTATCGATACACGTGCTGTTGTTAGACAAAGACAACTATTGTAATTTACGTAACGAGTGAAAGGGACATTTCAAAAAGATATCAACGGGTGCTTAATTGTTATCACTTTGCACTATTATTATACCAGTATAAGTTGATCTCCGGTGCATTTGAAATAGGTTAACGTGATAAGAATAGAATTTATTTACCAATTAAAATTTATGCCATCTTTTTGATTACTGGATGTCTTAGCTGACTTGTTACACCATGTTACTGCATAGGAAGCCATTTGTAATGTATTTTGGATACAAAACTATTTTTAAATTGTCAAGAACTCGGACGTGCCTACGGATCACACACTTGGTCGATACTGATGTCGTGATTCTTAGCGTCACTTCGTATGCTAGCTACAGCAAGTATGTATTGCGCGCGTTTGTCGCCCTGTATGCGGAATCTATTAGGGGGTAATCTATGCGCCCCACCTACCTCTAATTTGAACACCCCTGGTCGAACAATAGCAGGTAAAGATAAAAAGAGATAGATCAATGAAAGGCGAAACAAGTGAGTGAGAGAGTGAATTGTCGTTTGAATGAAATTTGGGTCTCGTTCTCGTAAGGCATGCAGGCAGCTTTAGCTATTTTAAACAGTTCATCTTGTAACGTTACCTAATTTGCACGTTGAATACGCTCACCATTTTTTTCGTCGTTATGCCTTCTACGATAGACTCATTGTCTGCTCGTGAAATAGCTGACATTCATTACATTTACGGGTTTTGTGATGGCAACGCTCGCGCCGCCTCTCGAGAGTATCATCAGCGATTCCCGACAAGACCTGCCGTTGACTACAGGGTTTTCTTAGCAGTACATCGAGAATTAAGTGAAAATGGACTGCATCGCCCACATCGTGAACGTGCTTCTACTGTACCGGTGGATGTGGATGAACAAGTGTTGCGTTTGGTGTACCAAGACCCCACAATTAGTACTCGACGAATAGCACTCCAATTGGGGATTAATCACGTCCAAGTGTGGAAAATTTTGAAAAAGGAATGTTTGTACCCTTTTCATTTTCGAAGAGTGCAGAATTTGCACGAGCCAGATTACGTCGGAAGAAGTGTTTTCTGTTCGTGGCTATTGCGGCAAAGACGATTAGTCCCGAAATTCTGTGACCGTATTTTGTGGACCGATGAGGCAAATTTTAACAGAACTGGAATCACAAATTTTCGAAACCTTCACTTGTGGATGCCGGAGGAAAAAAATCCCTTAGCAGTTCGGCCAGCGTCCTTTCAAATCGAATTTTCGATTAATGTTTGGGCTGGAATGATAAGTGATTACTTAATCGGACCATTTATTCTTCCGTCAAGGTTGACAGGCCCAGCTTACCTAACATTTCTACAAGAAGAGTTACCTGACCTGATGAGTGATGTGGATCTACAAACAAAGAGGAAGATGTGGTTTCAGCATGACGGCGCTCCAGCTCACTTCAGCACCATCGTGCGTGATCATTTAAACGAACTATACGGAGACAGATGGATTGGACGAGGCGGACCAGTAGCGTGGCCGGCACGAAGCCCTGATATGACCCCCCTAGATTTTTTTTTGTGGGGCCACATGAAACAGATTGTGTACAGTACTCCAATTAGTACAAGAGAAGAATTGTTACAAAAAGTAATGGCTGCGGCTAGTCAAATAAAAGAAAATCGTACTGTATTAAAAAAAACAGTACGCAGTGTGGCATTACGTTCAACTGTATGTATGGATGAAAATGGTGGTCATTTTGAAAATTTAATAAATTAAATCATTTTTCTACGGTTTCTTTTGTTTTATTCCATAATTTTGACAATTAAATCATTATTAAATCACTTTTGAATTTTGTGCTCAGATTACCTACCTTATTTTTAGTGATTATCTTAACAACGAAAAAAGATAGAACGCATGTTATTTTAGAGAACTTATACAGTAAGCTACGTAGTTTAATAAAACATGCTAAAAAGGTTATCTCAACGTACTAGTTTTGAAGTTACAGACCAAAAATTAAAAAGAAAAGTATTTTTTTAACAAAAAAAATTATCTTATTATTTTTTTGACAAATTTCCTGCTTGATATCGTAGGTTTTTTTAATTTTTATTGCTAGTTAATCTTTCTAACTTTCAAATAAAACTACTTTGAAAAAAATACACCGTTTACTTAAAGAGAAAATAATTTAAAACCGAAGGATAGGAATTTTAACAAAAACAAAATTCAAATGCTTTTATTTTTTAAACAGTTTACATAAAAAAATTTTTTTTCGATTTTTTACCGATAATTTTTTATCTAGTATCCGCACATTTCGTTTGATCAAGTGTAAAATTAACACATTGTATAGTGAATAGTGAAAGTGTTAGCTAGCCGAAAAAAGTGGTAAGTGAAATTCTCAGTTACATATAGTGAAAGTGTTAGCTAGCCGAAAAAAGTGGTAACTGACATTCGCAGTTACATATAGTGAAAGTGTTAGCTAGCCGAAAAAAGTGGTAAGTGAAATTCGCAGTTTCATATAGTGAAAGTGTTAGCTAGGCGAAAAAAGTGGTAACTGAAATTCGCAGTTTCATATAGTGAAAGTGTTAGCTAGGCGAAAAAAGTGGTAACTGATATTCGCAGTTACATATAGTGAAAGTGATAGCTAATCGCAGGTAGTGGTAACTGATATTCGCAGTTACACAAGTCATAAAATCAGCTAGTTTAGTTGATAATAGCTGCTAGACAGTAGTGTTTAGAAAACCAGCTATTACTAATAGATATTTTGATACTACCGAACAATTTAAAGAAATCTTTATATAGTGACCAATCGATAGTGAACAACCGTATTCAACAACCGTGGTCAATAAACAATAGTTATAAAATTTCGCGACTAATCGATCAGTCGAACCGTTGGCCACTCCCTTGCTATTTGTATTTTATAAATCGTGCATTTTAATTTTGAACCTCAGTCCACAGAGTCCCAGCAGCACTCGCAAAGACGGCAGTAGAAGTATCCTCCGGAACCTATAGGTGTAGGACGTGAAGGTGATATCAAACGGTTCACTCAAATGATTGTTCACTCGAGTGAATGCTTCATTTTTTTTCATTCTATGTTCACACGGCTTAGACGAAATGATACAGAAATGAACATTCATTGTTCTTTCTTTTAAATATGTCATCGAATGAAGTCGTACGTCTTGGAATTAGTTTAATTTGTGATCATTTAATCAAAGAGTTGACAAAAAAGAAGCATAGAAAACGTCGACGGTGGTGGATGCGACCATGGATTGCAAGAAGAAATTTATTAGGAGCTTCCAATACATTGTTGAGAGAACTAGCCGTTGAAGATCCTGATTCATATTGTAATCATCTTCGAATGGATGAAAGTAAATTTGAAGAACTTCTACTTCTTGTTGCTCCGTTAATAACGAAAGAAAACAACTTTAATGAGAGATAGCATACCTACCCGGATAAAACTTCAAATTGTACTGAGATACCTGGCTACAGGTGATAGTTTTGGAAGTTTAGAGTTTTTGTACAGAGTACCTCGAAATACAATATCCTACTTTTTTCAAGAAGTATGTGAAGCCATTTGGACAGCCCTTGGAAAGGTTATTAAGGTCAGTTATATCTATTTAATAAAATATTAAGTTATTTTCTTGAAACATTTTAATTTAGACAATCAACATTTACATAATATTTTTAGAGCTTGTGAGAGTATGTTTTCTTGCTCTTGGGTGGATGTTTGGACAATTGTGACTTGATTGGTCTCTTGTGGTGAACTCACGGGTACAGGCACTGGTTGTGGTTGCGTATAAACTTGTTCGGTGACAAGGTAGTTACTATAATTATACTCCGGGATTGTATTTTGCTATAGAGGCGACTGGTTGATAGTAAATGGGGATGGAGTGCAGGAGTCCGAGTAAATTACTTCAGGAAATGATTGTGACATCTGTGTTAACCGTTCCTGAGTCATCACAGAATGAAGTTTTTCCTGACATATCAAAGCCCTGTTCAAGGGCATTTTCTTGAGTTGTACTGCCAAACTTTTTCAAAACAAATCAAACTCATCTTCAGTTTGGACTTTGACTTGCTCGCTTATAGTTTTTAATTCTTTAATTGCTCTATCAATCGGTATATCAATCTTCCTTTTCTTGTTTGTTGGCTTTCGAGAATATGAAGGAGTCATCAGTTCACTACTTCCATTCCTACTAATCTCAGAATTTGGTGTCTTCTGTTCCTCACTGCCAGCTTGAGTCTGCTCAGATTCAGCTTGAGTCTGTGGTGCATCCTGTAATTAAAATGTTGACACTTTTATTATTACAGGTTCCTGGAAGTCAACATGAATGGAATAACATAATGGAAGACTACTATAGATTATGGAACTTTCCAAACTGTTGTGGTGCAATGGATGGAAAATTGGTGAATATAAGATGCCCAGGAAGATCAGGCTCTGAATATTTCGACTACAAAAAGAATTTTAGTATTCATCTATTTGCAGTAGTAGATGCGAATTATAATTTTATTTATATAGATGTTGGGACAAACGGAAGGGCAAATGATGCATCCGTCTTTAATAAATCAACACTGAATGAAGCTTTGTTGTCGAATCTTCTAAATTTCCCAAAGGAAGGCGTAATCGTCGCAGATGATGCCTTTCCTTTGCGGACGGATATTTTGAAACCATATAATACTAGAGGAGAGTTTGGCGATAAACAAAAAATATTTAACTATCGGCTGTCAAGAGCTCGACGAGTGGTCGAAAACTCTTTTGGAATATTAGTATCAAAATTTCGAATCTATGAAAAGGCGATTCCATTGTCAGTGCAAAAAGTTGAACAACTTGTTAAAACGACGTGTGCATTACATAATTGGCTCAGAAAAACTACAGTGGACTACGTGCAACAACGATCACTGGAAACTGAGGATTGGGTCACAGGGTCCATTGTACCTGGAGAATGGCGAGAAGTACCATCTTTAGCATTAAGCGATTTACCACCAACCAATGCAAGAAATCATAGTGAAAATGCCCGCCGCGTGCGTGACGTATATGCAGAAAAGTTCGTCACTTCATGCACTGTACCATGGCAATGGAACATGATAAGAAGAATATGATGTAATAATACTGAATAAACCTATACAATTCATATACGTTGTTTTTGTTTGAGTATAAGTATTAAGTAGGTAGGTACCTACCTAGCTTCTGTTCACGTAGTGGTCGCTTATCGAGCAGACAGACAGAGTTACTAGGATATGGATTAATATTATGGATATGGATTAGTATGGATTGATAAAAGATTCTACTTACGAGACTTGATGTACTCTGCCGTGGGACACATACACTGCTTAAAAATTCTGCATGTTTAAACCAGTACAGGGTCGGTACATAGACATCGTCAGAAGAGCAACCGCTTTTAGTAGAATGCTTTATTTTAGTTAATTCTGTTGTATACCGGGTCCTTATCGTTTTTATTTTATGTTTAATATCTTCTTCAGTAATCTCTAAGTTTAAATCACTGATTACAGATTTTATAGAGTTGTTCGGTCTTTGTATTCATCAATTTTGTGGTTCCAAAGGCATTGATAATTTTTAAAGTTCTCCAAAAAAAGTAATGTATTTTGATCGTTCCACTTGAACACCATTTTGCCGCATGAAAACAATATAATAACACACAGAAAAAAATATAACTTCGTCGACAACGTGATGTCCGTCGGCTACAGGACTCGAAACAAAATGGCCGAATCCGAATGAACGTTCTCTCAGTGTTCAGACCGTTCATTTCTCGTTCATTCGGAGTGGGAAGGAAAGATACCGGATGCCAATATCCAACACTGTTGGATCGGTTCACTAATGAATTCATTCGGCACTCATGTTTCATTTTTTGTTCAGACATTTCATTTCGAGTGAAATGTACCGAATGAAAGGTGAAAATGAACAAAAAATGAACCGTCTGATATCACCTTGAGCGACTCGCGGAGTATCTTCGTCAACATTTACTCCGGAGAGTTTTGCACATTTTGGTTTATTTATTTTTAATGTTATTACATTACATTTACATTTTCCGAACAAATTAACTTCCCTTCTATGAAATCTGTAAAATCATATACCTCACTTTCTAGTGGCACCGCCCTGGTGGCAGAAAAAGTCGTGGATGCCCTCATGACCAAATAGCATATTAAAAAAATTGGCAAAAATATGAAACTATGTATTTATACAATTAAAATTTAATCCCTTTAATAGTAATCTTTTCTGGCTGAAAATAAAGCCAACTGTACTTTGATTGACGATGTGTCGCAGTGCTCACAACTTTTGCAATGTGATGATGGTACCGAAATTTTTGCATCCTTACAAAAATATACGTAGTATAAACCGCAACTTCGATCTGTTATTGTTTTTTTTATCGGCACTTGGTAAAACAATGGATATAATAGTTTTAACCGAATGCTGGTCAACAAAGAATATGCCACCCCCAAATATAATCGATTACAGTGTATAATAGTCTAAAGAACTTTTATACCAGAATGATGACATAGTGGTATATGTTGTGATTTAATAGAGGGTAATTGCCTTGCACTTGTTGTTGATAGGTTTTCGGTTATCTGTTCATATCGGTCACCCTGTTTTTTTTATGGGATAAGGGTTACAAACGAACACACAGTCCACCTGATGGTAAGTGGTTGCTGCGGCCCATAGACATCTACATCTATCCTCTGTTACAAATTGAAATGTAGATGCGTTGTCACCCGTGAGGACTAAGATGGAATGCCTCATTTCCAGTAAAAAGGGCCTCCGGCCACCTGCACTCACCAAGCGAAACGCAGAGTTAAACCTCTACTTCACTTTGGTTTTCTGTGAGGTCGTGGTGCTACCCCGGTTCGAGCCGGCCCATCCGTGCGACAGCAAAAGCTGCCGCGTGGCTCTACCACTGTTAAAACCTGTTACACTAACCCTCGATCATATCTAGAATCCTTAGATAGCTTATTACAAAAATCTTCTAGCAGACACGTCACACTTACAGGTGATATAAACATTAATACGCAATAATCAATTAAATGAATATCTGTGCATATTAGCTACTCATGGCTTAGAACAAAGTGTTACCTACAGATCCAACGAGCCTTAACAACTGTCTCGATCACTTTATTATTTAGACGACAAAAAAATGGCAAATCATCGTTTTCCACCAACAGATCACATAAATCCTATTACAAATAAAAAATACTCGATTCTGGAAGCTAAAAAACACACACACACCAAACAGGTACCAGACTACGCCCGAGCGTTAAATAATCTAAGTGTCACAGACTGATCAAACTATTTTGCGGTGCGTGATGTACCAAATGTATCAAACTGCGGAACATCTTGTCAATATTGTTACAAATATAATTAACGAGTGCACAAGCACTAAGTACATATTCAAAAAGAACGCACCTTAAGGGGCTACTCCATGCGAACGACCTTGAGCATTTGGTGTACCGCGCCGACTCGCTACAATATAATATCACGTAAGAAATATGTAAGGCGCCACCTACTGTAAGAACGTAGTATTTTTTCAACATCAATAAACTATTTTATGGAAATACACACAGCGTACAACGGTAAATGTATCTCATATAATATTATCTAATTATGAAATTTTATAATTAATTATATAAGTATTAAAAATGAAGCATTGAAAATTGTGAGTTTAAAAGATACCTACTCACTATAGGTAAATAGATAGATAGCTCGCCTTTTGTACAAATATTTGGTGCAATAAAGAATAAATAAATAAATAGGATGTTTCGCAGAGTGAGAGTAATATAGAATGAGAGTCGTGGAGGCAGTTTACAAACATAAATTGCACAAGGACAAACATCCAGACCCGGAACAATTATTTGTAGGCCATACAAATACTTGTTCCGTGCGGGATTCGAACCCGCGGCCCCCAGTGCAGCAACTGATTGCTAAGCCAGTGCGCCACGGAGCCGTCGCCGGTTTATAGCTAAAGTGACCATACGTCCCGTTTTGAACGGGACTGTCCCTTTTCTCAGTCACCTGTCCCATTGTCCCCAAACAAAGCCCCGGGACACAAAATTGTCCCGTAACTCGTTGGATGGAAGTATTCAAAGTCAACAATCTTCAACATAATTTTTTTTAATCGAATATATTTTATGTCTCCCTGGTACAAATGCTCCAGTAGAAAGAATATTTTTTTTATTTTGAACAAATTGTGGACGTCTGAAGAAACACTTACGGTTCCAGTTCTAAAGGCGATGTTGATAACAAAGGTAACATAAAAAAACTTAAGCAGAATTTTATTCTTATTTAAAATTATCACCAACTTTATTAAAGCAAATTTAATCCACTGACAAATGTAATTAATAATTAAAAAAAAATATGTTGCATTTAATAATTACCGTCTATACCGAATATAATTTTATATTGAACACTAATTGTGTAAAGTTATAGTTTTTAGAGTGTAAATAAACCCATGTCCTGTTTTGAGTTAAAAAATAAATGGTCACTTTAGTTTTTTTTAGTTAAATTTAGTTTAAAAAAATTTTAGTTTATAGTAAAAAGTAGGTATATTAATACCTACTTAGATACTTTTTACCGAATTAGGGTAGAAGCCCCTAATACCAGTCATGCCCCTAATTGCAGTCTTTTCGCCTTTTTACTCCTCCATAAATAAGATTTCTAGTAGTCTTAACTACAAATATTTTCATCTAAAAAATTCTTTGTACCTAGAGGAAACTATATTTATTCAAATATTACCTCGCAGTTTTAAACCTAACAGTGTTAAAATCAAAACAGGTACGCAACGAAAAACGATCATTTTCCTAATTATTTGACAAGTTATGATCCCGGTAAAATTATGCTTACTTTACATTATCTCATATATAGGCTTTTTGATTTGTATGAATATGACTATAGACATAGTAATGCAGTTATTTTTGTTTGAATTTACAACTTATTTATTTTCTTTTAGTGGAAATTAATGGGACTGTAATTAGATAATATAAGAAATGTATGGAGTGCATAATGTCAGCCGCCCGGCTGTTATTTGGTTTGACGTACCTAATAAGATGTACCTAATTTCAACCACGTAATATAAATCAGAGCTGCCATAAACTGGAATAAATACCACCTTGAGCCACACTGTGTATAGAAAAAAGACCCATACAGATAGATATTTAAACGGTGATTCTCACCACCATCCTTCACAGTTAGCTACCGTGGGTAAATCTTTGTTTCAGAGAGCACGAGGGATCTGTGACAGTAAACACCTGGCCGCCGAGCTCCAACACGTCAAGCAAGTTTTGCTCGACAATAAGCTTCGGGTCCCGCGCCTACGTCACAGTGAACGAGTGAAGCCGGCCACAGTCGAGCGAGTGCCTGCTGTACTGCCATATGTCAGAGGTGTCACTGACAAGATTGGCTACATCTTGAAGCGTGCTTCCATTAAAACATATTTCAAGCCGCCGAAGAAGATTAGTCAGTTTTTACCATCAGTCAAGTGTAATATTCCTCTGCAAGATGCAGGAGTGTACAAGCTGGATTGTGAATGTGGTCTCTCTTATATAGGACAAACTAAAAGATCCATAAAAACCCGCGTTAAAGAACACATAGCTGATGTGAAGAATAGACGCTCCGGGAAGTCTGCAGTCTGTGAACACGTACAGGATCGCCCCCGTCACTACATTAGATTTGATAGACCACAAATCCTCGCTAAAGAACACCGATTCCTTCCAAGGATGATTCGCGAGGCTATTGAAATCAAAAAACATCCTAATTTCAATAGAGAAGATGGCTGGGTGCTACCATCTGCTTGGGATCCCATAATTAATAAAATTAAATCCTAACCCAAGCATACAACTGCAAGACTTCATGATACTGTAAGTTCATACTGCGTAGATCGGAACAAAAATTAATAATTTTTAATCTGGAGGTAGCCGTGGTTAACTATGACATTGGGACGTCTTACACCTCAGTCCCCCCCGTGACCATGGGTGCTGTAAAGTGCTTGAAACGTCGGGAAAGTAAAATAAGTTAATATACGCGATAAAATCCGTAAAATTAGTTTTATTTAAATGGAATAAATACCATTAATTAGATCATAACTTATTTTATAGCTAAGGGAGTTATGATCAATTCGTCTGTTTTAAAATTGGTTTTAGATTTTAAAGTTTAGCAAAAGATGTATTAGCTTTTCTCTCTGACATTCGGCGTATAGAACATCTTATGTACTCAATTATTTTTTTTTTGAAAAAGAAGAAAAAACAAGCAATAAATAAAAACAAAAACGGGCCAAAAACTCATAACTGACTTTTTGACAAGACCCGGGATTCGAAACCGAGACCTCATGATCAGCACTCGCACTACTACAACCACTAGACCAACGAGGCGGTACTATACCTAATAAGATATTGTGGTTGGGTGATAATATTGAATTAGCCTTTTATAGTGTAAATTATAATATTTGTCGAAATTTTAATTATGGGTTCGAACCTTACATGCTAATGGTGCTTCATTTTTTTATTTGCATTTACTTCAAAGAAAATACACGCAAAAAGCTTCATCGCGCAGTAAAAAACACAACAAATATATGTATAACTAATACGAAAAATTATACCCAAAACAAACAAATAATACTACCTATAAATAACCTAATAAGTAATATTATTATCGACTAATATGACGTGAGTGTATGTGCTGGTCGACGCTCTAACGACACGGGCTTCGCGTCGAAGAGCTCAGGGCTCACTGACTTCAGCAAGCCCGTGAGCAGTGAATATGCCCAGATTTTAAAATAAATTCTTAATAAAATCAAATTTTGGTCTTTTGAAAAAAAATTTACTATAGGAATGTTCATTAATAAATTGCCTATCCATTGGTGTAAATCGCAAAATAAAATAATACTTACTTTACGAGGAGATGCGTGTTATCAATAATAATTTCACATTTATGTGGTTTCGTTGTAAGGAGATTATATTAATATTTATACCTTTAAAAAAAAATTGGATATAGCTTTTATGGAATCAAGATTATGTAGAAATATAATGTGTTTTTTATTTGTTGATATATCTTTTAAATAAAAAGTAGATAGCTCCTAAAAACAGCACAAATAACGACTAGCGCGACATTTTGCTCAACCTGCGCCTTAAGAGGTGCTTTCTTTTGGGTTACGATAGGCGTTGTGATACGATAGGCGTTGTGAGATCAATTCGCAAAGGAGATAAGTTGCATAAAAAGGCCAAACTACGACCGACTGATGATAGAATTAACAAATACTATATAAAATATAGGAACACTTGCTAAAAGGTATCCAGACCACTCCCTCCAATAATTCCGTGAGTCAATTGCCTACTGAGAGGTCTTCCTTCGGTCGGTCTTGATCTTGAAACTCCAATGACACCTACGTTGGGTTCGGGCGGTAACCGAGGCGTATGTGAACCCCGTGAAGGAGTATCACAAGAGAGCGTCTGAAAACCGTTTCTCAAAAGAAAAGTTCAGACGGGGATTACGGGTCTTCCAGTGGTCGCCCCGGACCCGATGTCTTTAAGCTGGTTCTTCAATATGTGCTTCGATATGTACTTAGCGGACTGTAATTTTATATTTAAAGGTGAAGGATCCCTCGGGAATAAAACAGCAATCGTCTTCAAACCTCTCCGCGAGAGTGCAATTACTTTCCCTATCACTTCCCTATGTGTTTTCTTTCTTGATTATATATATTACTGGTAGCTGGTCCCGAACGAATTGCATAAAAACCAGTTTAATAAGGTACCTCAACGCTTTACTCTAAAGAGAGCCACGCCCTCTGTGCGATTTCGCAACACAATTACGTTAAACTTCACGGTTTGCCCAATATCTTTATTTGTATAAGACATACATTCATGCAATTTATATATAAAGATAGCACAACAAAATATCTATACTATGATATACATTACATTTTAATATCACAAAAAACCTTTTATTTATTCAACAAAATAGGCCTATTTTACAACATATGTAAGAACAAGAACAACAACAACAACAACAACAACAACAACATATTACTAAGTTAGAATTCTTAAATATCTAACATATAAGGTTGGAACAATGTCCTTTATTTGTAAATACAAATAATATCTTAACTAATACAATAGTTTTAGTTAAGATATTTGTATTTTCAAATAAAATATAAAAATATGTATAAAAATCACATTTTTATACATATTTTTATATTTAAAACGCTTTTAAATTTCTTATACAAAACTATAAATATTTCACTATTTTAGACGAATTTATACATGAAAATAACACAGAATTCACTAATTCTGCTTATACATAATAATAATAATAAATAATAATAACACCTTGCAAGCACCTTGCCAAGAGGTGTTAGCGCCGTGCCTCGGCAAAATTGGAGGTGCAAAGGCCCGATTGTGCACATGGCCTCACCATGAAACGGTGCCGGGTCTGGGCGTCTCCCGTTAACTGACGCCCAAGTAATGAATGATGGAACTAAGAAATACGCGCAAAGGGCCGCTGCCTGGAGGTCGCCAGGGCGCGTCTGGAGCTGGCGCTGGACGCGGCAGCATGCGAACCGCCAGTCGAGCGCGAGGTGCTGCACGATCACCCAGCAGCCCCTCGCATCCATCATCCCCACCAGCTGGCTTGGTGTTGGCAGGGTCTTCGTTGGCCCAGCAATCAGCACCCGGCACTGGTGGAGTACGCCGCATGCGTTGGTCAATGCAAATGAATAAAAATGCATTGCGGGCGTATTTTGGGGCGAAAGGGAGAGAAATTGGAGGTTTTGGGTATCGGGCTAGGATGCACCGACTATTTGCTGAGCTGGAGCCATCTATTACCGTTACCGAGCAAAATCTGGCAGACCGAGTTCGGTACATCATGCGCTCAAAAATATTTGATGACGCCGAACTCGAACGGCTACGACGTGAGGCTATTCCTTTGTCGAATGAAAATGCTACGACAGGAGATGCGGCTCTACGAGTTGCAGAGCAACCCGCACATGTAGATGCCGCCGTTGATCTCCTTGTAGTTGACTCAGGCGACGATGGAATAGTCGCCCCAGAACTAGAGCAAATGAGGAGCATAGTGGAAGAGGCGATTAGGGAAACGCGCAGTACGCCTCTCGAGAATCGACCGCGACTTCCCCGTATACCCCTAAGCAAGCGGAATCGGGCTGTCGTGAGGGCTCTCAACCCAATGCTGGTGACCTATTTGGAAGCCAGCCGGGACCTTTGCGAGACGGACTCAATTCTTTTTGGCGCCGCACTGGCAGTTTGCCGTATTATTGGCGCCAAACTTCCCAAGGCTGGACGCGCTACTAGACAAAGTAGCGCCATCCCAGCCTGGAGAAGAAGAATTGAGGACCGTATCGCAAAGGCAAGGGCCCTCATCGGCAGGCTGATAAGCTTCAGGTCGGGCAATAATAGGCCGAGAATTGTGCGCACCGTCAGGATGGCGTTTGCTGGGACAAACATCAGTTTGTCCCAGCCGGATATAACGCAAAAACTGACGGAGCGCATAGACGACCTGAAGCAGAGAATCGCTGCTTGGGGGAAGCGGATTCGGCGATATACCGAGAGGTCAACACGGTTCAACCAGAATCGTCTCTTCCAGAGTGATCAGAAGAGGCTCTATGAATCATTGGAGCGACCAATGGTACGTGGAACGGGCCCAGCACCGAATCAGGCCGACACTATCGCATTCTGGCGCGGCCTGTGGTCAGAGCCCGTAAACCACAGTGAGGGCCCTTGGACGGAAGTTGTGGCGAGTCAGTGTGCGAATGTTACGCCCATGGACCCCGTCATCATTACGCCGGATGACGTAGCTGAGGCGGTCCGTAGGGCCCCGAACTGGAAAAGTCCGGGACTCGACGGACTGCATCACTACTGGCTGAAGGGGTTCGTGGTGTGTCACGCTGTTCTCGCCCGACAGTTTCAAGAGGCTCTCGACCAAAAGTCGCTCCCGAGCCTCTTCACTACTGGGATCACTCATCTGGTTCCTAAAGACCGAGATTCCACAGACCCGAGCAAATACCGCCCCATAACGTGTCTACCTACCATATACAAGACACTCACATCCATTTTGAGCGCGAGAATCACTCGTCACCTGAACTCAAATCAGGTGATGTCGCGCGCTCAAAATGGATGTCGGGGCGGTGGTCGTGGAACCAAGGAACCACTCCTCATTGACGCGGTCATTGGCAAAGTGGTTAAACGCAACCGTCGGAACCTCTCCGCCGCCTGGATAGACTACAAAAAGGCATTCGACTCGGTGCCTCATACATGGCTGAAGAGGGTCCTCGAGCTGTACAAGGTTGACTGTACAGTTCGAGACTTCCTCGGGCAGTGTATGGGGCAGTGGAGTACGATCCTTTGTCATCTAGGCGAGCGGATGACGGCTGCGGAGAACCACATAAGGATAAGAAGGGGTATCTTCCAGGGCGATTGTCTGAGTCCAATCTGGTTCTGCCTCTCTCTGAACCCTCTTAGTACCTTACTGGAGGGTTCCGGGAGGGGATTTCAGCTTCGGAGAGGAGGTACAAAAGTGACCCACCTTTTCTATATGGATGATCTCAAGTTATTCGCCTCCAGTCGCTCTCATCTTATGGAATTGCTAAACATCACTTGTGATTTTAGCAATTCTATTAGAATGGAGCTGGGGACGGATAAGTGTGCGGTCCTCCATGTTGAAAGGGGAAGGGTTGCTAACTCTGAGGGCATAGATTTATCTATGCCTATCAACATAAGGACCCTTTCCGAGGCTGAAACATACCGATACCTGGGTATGTCACAGAACATCGGTGTAGATGAGGCGGGTATGAAACAGTCAGTTTGCGATGTGTTTTATGCACGCTTGACCAAAGTAAACTTAACAGCCTTTTGTCCGGTGTGAATAAGACGCACGCATATAACGGTTGGATCATGCCTGTTCTCATGTATACCTTTGGCATGCTCAGGTGGACTCAGACCGAACTGAACGCTCTGGACAGAAAAGTCCGCACTATAATGACGTCCCACAGGATGCATCATCCGAGATCGTCAGTAATGAGGCTGTACTTGCCGCGGAAGCATGGTGGGCGCGGCTTTTTAAGCGCGCTTACCATGCATAATCGCGAAGTGTGCAGCCTCCGTAATTACTTTCTGACGAGAGCGGATGATCCATTCTATAGGGACGTTATTTCTTGTGATAAAGGACTTACCCCTCTATCCTTAGCCAACGAGCAATGGCAAGACCCGGCAGTACAGAGCATTTCCGACCGGGAGACCGTATGGAAGGAGAAGGAGCTCCACGGGAGGTTCTACAAGGCTCTACATGAGCCTTGCGTAGACACAGTCGCCTCCCTCCACTGGCTACGTTTCGGTGACCTCTTTGGGGAAACCGAGGGTTTTGTCTGTGCGATACAGGATCAGGTTATTAAGACCAACAATTATCGGAGATACATCCTAAAGGATGGCGCCGTCGACATCTGTCGAGCTTGTCGCCATCCCGGTGAGTCACTTAGGCATGTCATCTCCGGTTGTTCGGCGCTTTCTAACTCTGAGTATTTGCACAGACACAACCTAGTAGCCAGGATTCTACACCAGGAGCTCGCTCTGAAATACGGTCTCGTGGATCGGAAACTGCCATATTATAATTACTTGCCGGAAGCCGTGCTCGAAAATGACCGCGCCAGGCTCTACTGGGACCGGGCCATCATCACGGACAGGACTATTCTTGCGAATAAGCCTGATATTGTGCTGATGGACCGGGCACAGTCAAGGATATTTTTGGTCGACATTACCATTCCTTATGACGAGAACCTCGTGAAAGCCGAAACAGATAAGTTGACAAAATATCTGGACCTGGCTCACGAGGTGACCGACATGTGGGGTGGTCTGCCGGCCGAAATTATTCCTGTGGTCGTCTCTGCGAACGGGTTAATCCCAGTCAGCCTCTCGGGTCATCTGAGGCGACTGGGACTCCGTGACGGATCGCTCCAAGCTCAAATGCAGAAGGCGGTGCTCCTCGATACCGCCCGCATCGTCCGCCGGTTTCTTTCCCTTTCTCCCTAACCCTCGGCCGTTTGGTCTCCCCTGCCGAGGGCTTCCATCTGGTTGGGTTTTTATATATTTATGTAATTTTTATGTATTTATTTTATTTTATTGATATTTATGTAAGTTTATCATTTTCATTTACAATTATATATTTATACAGCCCAACCAGATGAGAAAACTATACAAATACCCCATAATAATAATAATAATAATAATTTAATAAATTCTTTATTTCAGATAATTGAAATCCATATGTGGGTTAGTAACACAATAATAATAACAAGGGTTAGTTACAGTGGTAGTACAAGTGTTTGCTTAAATTCTAGGGAAATAAAATAACTACACTGTGCCGAGACAGATCATCATGGGGGTGGATAGGGCCCAGTAATCAGTCTCTGCACAAGACATTTCCACAGCGGCGATGTATATCTATCAGTTACGGTACTCAGAATGCTGTTGTGACTGGCTCGTACCCTGCTAATAAGGGATGCGGTTTTTTTTGCGTATGATGGCATTAAAACCGTCTGTTTGGTATGCAGCAAACATCCCTGATGCACTACAAAAACGAGGCAGTCCCAACAGCATCCTGAATATATTATTATGTTGGATGCGCAGGGCTTCATGCGATCTTTTGGTGTATTTGACCCACAGGCTCCCCGTGTATACGCTCTGGCAGTATGCTTTAAAAAGCGTAATCTTAACTTGTTTTGTACAACGGGAAAACCTGCGAGCCAACATATTACCTCTAACCGCTAGAGCCCTGCGCTCCCTTTCAATGTCAGCATCATCCTTGAGGTCACTAGTAATAATATGCCCCAGATATTTAAATTTAGTGACTCGTTTCACGTTCATGCCATTAAGGGTAACATTAACTGCAATATTGTGACATTTACCAGCGGCCTCAAAGACCATGTACTCTGTTTTTTTGACATTGTATGTGAGCCCATGCTCAGTAGCATACATCTCACATACCTTTAACATTTCACTTAGGCCTCCCACCGTTGGGCTGAGCAGCACCATATCGTCAGCGTAACTTATGTTATTAATGTTAACGCCATCTATACGACATCCGACGCGCATGCCGCTCAACTCCACGATAAGGTCATTTACATACATGTTGAAGAGCTTGGGAGACGTCAACCCCCCCTGTCTCACCCCGCACTCCAACACGTATCCTTCCGACAGAGTATCAGCCCACTTTACAAAATTAGTTTGGTTGGAATACCAAAACCTAAACACTTCCAGCAACTCGGCCGGCACGCCCCACTCCGCCAACTTTCTCCAAAGTATCTCATAGGACACAAGGTCAAAGGCCTTGGAGAGGTCAAGGAAACAGGCGTATACCGGCGTCTTGCGATCTGTGTAGTATTGGACAGTGTGGTTTAGGCTAAGGATTGCGCTTTCAGTAGAAAGTCCAGGTCGGAACCCGAACTGCGCGTCATGTATATTTGCATACTTATCTAATTCCGAGTCAAACACACTGTCCAATACCTTAGCAATTGCTGTTGCAAGTGATATAGGGCGGTAGTTCCCCCTGCTCGAGATGTCACCGGTCCTGTCCTTAACAATGGGCACTACAATGGTCTTTATAAGGTCACGTGGTAAATAAGAGTGATTTATGCACATTGAGAAGAACAGGGCCAGCACTCTCGGCAGGTGAGGCCCGGCATGCCTCAGATGTTCCACACTAATACCGTCATGACCGGGGGACTTGCCACCGGTCATTCTTTTTAGCGCCTCTCTAATCTGCTTTGCAGTAACGCGCATCAGTGGCACGTCCCCCTGACATCCGGCCTTAGCACTATTCACATATACTAAGGGCCCCAGTGGGGAACGCACTTTGAAATGTTGAGCAAAATTATTCGCAATATGTACCGACTCGCTATTCCCATCCACACTCACCGGGAGGCCAGGCCTAACATCACATTTCTTGGTAGCCTTCCAAAACTGTTTAAAGTTTTTGTCCACCCAGTGCTGTGCTAGAATGTCCATTTTTAATTGTTCCTGGTTTCGTTGACACCATTTTAACCGGCTTTTGAACATTTTGCGGGACTCGTTCATTTGATCATAGATCCTTCCAGATGATGGCCTATTATACGTCAACCATATCCTGAAGTTAAGCCTGGCCATCCGATGCGCCTCTTGAACATGTTTGTTCCATCCACAGAGGTGTCTGTTTTTACTTGGCTTGTTACAAGGTTTTTTCTTAGTTTTGCTAGCCGCATCACTCAAGACACGTACAATGCTGTCATACATCCGGTCTAACACCCGCTTGTGTTCATCCAAACTGCATAGCCCACGACTGCACTCTATAAACTCCGAGGGGAAATCAATCTCGCGTAGTCTATTGTGACAGAGTTCTTGATAATTACATATTTGTTTCTGATCTCTTTCCCCCCATATTACTGAGCTAGGATGCAAGTCGCGAGCCATCCATTTAGGCCTAACAATCCTTAAGTCACATTTAACTATTAAGGGTAAATGATCAGACACAAAGACGTCTTCTATAACTTCTACTTCGACAACGGTTTGCCAGGCCGAGTTTGAGACAACACAGTGGTCCAGCCATCGTCTGCACCCGTGCGCCGCGCTAACGAAGGTGTAAACGTTAGACTGCAAGCCAAGTTTTTCTATGTCAGCGCACATCCAACTCTGATCAGAACAAAAACCAACCAATTCATTATAAAACAGTTCATGTGGGTGCGCATTAAAATCACCCAGTATAAATATGCTCTCAACATTTTCGCTTTCAACAATAGCGCTTAATTCACCTAACACCTCTGTAAAGATAGATAGATTGTCTAACGAGTCAGTAGGCATATACACTGAGAAAAAGACAACAGTGCGCTCCCCTATAGTAGCTCTTATACCTATCAAGCGGGCACTACTGCAATCTAACACAGTAACGCTGTCAAAAATGCCCTTCCGCCAGAGAATGGCAACTCCCCCGTATGGTCTTCCCTTTAATAAGCCAACAGATGTATCCACAGCCGACTTACCTATGTATTCAAAGTCACTGGAGATATCACCTAATAGTGGAACGTCATGGGGGAGCAGACATGTCTCCTGAAGCGCGACTACATCTGACATTCCACAAATGTTCCTTATGTCATCTATTGACCGCGTGACAAAAAAGCAATTAAAACTAGCCAAAGTTAATTTTTCAGACAAACTTATACTCATTATGGAAGTCGTTGACTAGCTTTAACTACCGACTCTGTCTTATGCACAAAGTTCACAAAACGCCTAAATGTAATTCCATTTGGCCAAAAATTATCCTTTAAAAATAATTCTAATTTACACTTTGAAACATACAACTTATAGGAATTGTACGGTTTTGTTTTTTGCATATTAATTTTTTTCAAGAACACACTTTCATCTGTTCTTTCTTTTATATAACTAATAATGTCACTTACACTAGCTTCTTTATTCACATTTGAAATTAAAAGCGGCACTTTCACAACAGCCGCTTTAAATTTACTATCAGGGGCAGTGGGAGCAATGCCTCTCTGTCCAATTAGCTTGTAACGTCTTACAGATTTCTTACGCACGATTTGCCACTCTGAGTCCCTTACCACTTGATCACATTTCACACTAGAATCCCGCGCAGAGATTTCGCCTCGCGCGTCAATAAGAGATACACTCGAGTGAGGCGGGCGCTTGGCGACTATCTCAGTCAATCGACTTCCAGTAGTAATGTTTTGCCCATCGGGTGCGTTCGCGCCGTTCTCCGAAGTAGTTGGTTTTGTCGAAGACAACGCAGACGCCGGGGCCCCCACGCGCACATCATGATGTATTGTCTCGCTTACACTCGTACTGTCACTGCATACTGGTAACATCTGGCGATCGCTGTTATTTATCATCGGCGAAACCACAGTATTAGATGTGGGTCGTTACGTCATTTTCAAGAAACGTAACGAAACCAGTGACTGGGTCTGCGTCACCTGTTTCAAAACTAGTGATTTTTGTAACTGGCTATTTTTATTTGGCTACTGTGATTGTTTGCATAAATACCACCAAGAACTATACAGTTACACACGAAACGAAAATAAATTTAATCACTATCTAAGTGTTTCTAGCTATACAGTTAAATCAATAAATTAACTTCCCTTCATACTTTATTCAGGCTTAGAACTGACTGCATTAAATGTATTTATGATTGTTTTGTATTTACTATGAAACTAAGATTTTCATAAAATTATTAATGCAGGGGTATTTACAAGTCAATTTGATTGTATATACAATGATTATTGATATTCACAGTTTATTTAAACTTGTACAATCCACACTAATTATATTTATATAATATAATAACAAAGAAACGTTACAGTAAATGTACATAAAACACCAAAATAACATATAAATGTAAATTTTTACAAGATAGTATTCAAAATTATAAACAAGTACAACGATGAACTAAAACAAACTAAATTATTTTACTTAAATTCAATGTGACTATCGCTTCCCGGAATTGCAAACCGTTGAAATTATTTACAAGCAAAGATCACTCTATTTATATTGTCTATATCTATAGTCTTACGTATGAAAATTAAACGTACAATAATACTGTTACATACGCTGTTTTGTTTATTCTTGTATGCCACATGTGCGCTTTGCGCTTGATCGACCGACAGTCTACTCTCGCCACAATCACAGTAATAACGCATTTACAAAAATCACTACTTGTAATATGACTCGAAACTAGTGACTCGGTTACATGCCGCGTAGCCAGTTATTGTAACTAGTGACGTGAAATAACGCCCACGTCTACTTTGCTCGGTATCTTTCATCGCTTTATTTTGCGCATAAGTAAAAGAAACAGAATCGTCCGCATCCAACTCTTTTGAAGATGAATGTGTCATTAACGTGGTTCGGTCGATTACCCCGGTATCAGCTGATGTATGCGATGACTTTATAGGCAAATACTCAGGTACATAGGGAAGTCCTATGGGTCCGCTATTCATCACAAAACTGTTATGTAGGCATGTCCCTCTTCTTTTGTTTACATTATCTTGGGACGAAAAATCATCAATTAATGATGCTTGTTTCATATGCTCGACCTCTTGTTGAGAAGATTAAACTGATCCGATGTTATTACCTTCTCCTCTAAGGCAAATAGTTGACTTTTCAGCCACAAAATATCCTTTAGCAACCGGGTTACATCCACATGATCAAAGGTCACTGGCGGAACTAAATGTAAATCTTTAGCCACAAAAATAGGGAAGATCTGAGGATCAGCACTTTTCATTAAATTTATGATGTCATCTAGATCTCTCGACATTCTCTTCTTGTCCTTTTTTCGGCGTAATGGCATTTTCTTTGCATTCGGCATCGATTCAAAAAGTAACGATTTCGCTTTCGCAATATCGTCAATTGAAAAGGAAGTGGAGCATAGCTGGTGCATACTTTCCTCGTCCATGTAATCCATGACATTGCGCACAAAAGTCAGTAATTCGTTAATTACGACATTACAGTTTGAACATTTCACAGTATTCGAAGTCATTGTCCTTCGCAATGAGTCACCACTGTACGACGCATGCACAGAACGATATCGAAACGACCGCGTTTTGTCGCGATGCGCACCTGACTGATATATAGATACAGTCATCCTGAAACAATTTAAGAGTCAATTTGACATAAATTGCTGAAATTTGCAAAAATTTAATTTCCATTTATTAAGCCTCCTATATTGCAAATTAGCGCGCGGCTATTATCTAGCGCTATGTGAACGACCAATTTTTACACGACTCTCGACAGCTCGGTAAGAGGCTATTGAAATCCTTCGTCAGATAGCACCTATCTGTTCATTATGAAACACCAAGGTACAGCTCTTGCCCCCTGTCTTCGAGGCGGGGAGGTTAGACTGACCTCTGCTTATTATTGTTTTAATTGTTATTTTATTGTTGTTTTTTTTATTGTTGATTTTTGTTATTTCTTTTGTTATTCTTTTGTTTTTCTTGTATTGTTATACGTGTATATTGTCTCGTAGTACGTCTCGTGTTCAAGTCCCTGTCCTTCTGAGAACAGGGACCAGCCCCATCCTTACTGTTTTGTAGAATTACTGCCGCCGAGGCGGCGGT